ACCTGTGGTTTGGGTTTAACCATTCCTCAGCAACAACACTGGCCATATTTGACTATCTCTTCTTTGCCTTCAAAGCCTGCGGGCAGGTAAACAACCCCTTTCTCACCTGTGGAGAAACAGCAACAGGCTACAGAGAGGTAACTGGACCACAGTTCAGCAACAGAGAGGTAACTGGACCACAGTTCAGCAACAGAGAGGTAACTGGACCACAGTTCAGCAACAGACCTTTCACCACCAGGGGGGGGGGCAATCTACAGCTACGTGGTGACTACTACTCAAAGGTATTTTCTTTCTTTTCTCCTTCAAGCCACCATCAGTGTTGTTTGCTTTTCTTCTTTAGCTTGTTACATTTTCTGTTGACACGAAGCTTCTGTCAGCTTTATGTATCTTTTTTTTCTTTCATGACGAAAAGCATATCAGCAACATTTTGCCACTGTTGCATTGCATTCTTGATAGTACTCACCTACAATCATCAGAAACATTATTTTTTCCGCCTTTCACCCCTTTTGCAAGTCAGGGACACATTACCCTTTACTACACCAGTCACACAGAACACTCAGCGTAGCCACCCCCCCCCCAGGTGTGGTAAAATGGAATCATTATTATTATCCATGATTCTGGATGGTGTTTTAAATAAGCTCGTCATTTGCATGCTTTAAATAATTTCCCAAAGACACATAATATACATACTGCTTCTTCCGAGAAAAGAATCTGAATTGGGGACTAAAGTTGTTGTGACTGCCATGGCAACAGATGGAAACTAAACCCAACAACATGCAAGGAACAAAGCAGACCTAGGCGGAGCAGACGCGGCACCAGACAAAAGTTTCGAGCAGGAGAAGAAGACACCATCAAGCCAGCAACAGCTTCTTCTACCTCTCCGTGCCAACAGTAACAACATTCCCCACCTCCACAGTCAGCCCCCATCTACAGCAACAACATTCCCCTCCTCCTCAGTCAGCCCCCATCTATAGCAACAACATTCCCCATCTCCTCAGTCAGCCCCCATCTACAGCAACAACATTCCCCATCTCCTCAGTCAGCCCCCATCTACAGCAACAACATTCCCCATCTCCTCAGTCAGCCCCCATCTACTGCCATTGCTTCCCCCACAAACCAACAAGGGTGTGGCCAAGTTTTACGCTGGTCACTTGTCAAAAGGATACTCGTATTTTTGTCATCTTTCTGTTCCATTCCAGGCAATGCTGCGGCCACTCGTCTGAACAACTGTTGACAAAAAAGAAAATCCCTGCATGAGTTTTACTGTGTCACATTTTCCAACAATACGAACGCAGACTTTTGCTTTACTGTTAAAAGAAACGTTCACAGCTTCACCAGAAAAATGAAATTAGTGAAGCAAATATTCCCATCAGATTAGCCCACTTCAAGAGCGAAATCTTATATAAAACATTCATCAACTCGTGAGGAAAAAACATCTCTGTGGGTGGTTGGCTGGTGCTCTGGTGTGCCTTTAACACTCTGTTGTAACACCTCTAATCATCAGCATTTATTTGACCCAACTGTGTTGAAAGTGCCATAAAAAAACCCCACTAAAACAAAAGCATCTTGTCTGACCAAATAGCATCGTGTAAAACAATTCTCCTAATGTCTGGAGCAGAGAGGAAGACACTGAAACGACATCAGAGCCCACTTAACGTGAACATGGCAAATCAGGAAATAGTGATCAATTGAAGGAAAAGAAAATCCCTGATTTTTTTTTTCTACTTCTCAAAACCGTGCAGTAGTCATACAGAATTTGGTTTAAGCAACTTCGCTGTACGTACGAGTTAAGAAGAACTAAAGAAAATATAATATTCTTACAGACTAGGAAAGAAGCACCTCCAATACACACACAAAAAGTGAAGCATGATGCTTTTCTCTGCACACATTGTTGACCTACCTGTTTTACGTTATATCCAGCCTTGGCACTGGTTTCGATGAACATCACATTCAACTCTTTTGCTTTCCTCTCTCCTTCTTCCGTGGAAACTTGTCTGAGGGAGGAAAAAACACTTTGAGAATGTACGTCACAAAACATTGTCTCAATTAGGAGATTGTTTGTTGAAGTAACGAGAAGCACATCGACACGATAATGGTCATTGAGTGCTGGGAAAATAGTCAGACAGGCAGACTGAAACAACAGAGGGGAAGGTAAGGAAGTAGGACCTACCAGTGGCGCCCTTCAACCACCCACTGAATAAGGAGAAAAACTTTGACACAATAAAGAGATATCTGCGCCATCATCATTGCCTTTCTCACCCTGCACGAGGGTATAGGTCACCAACAAATATTTTCCACCTTTCTTTATCTTGAGCTGGCTCCTGATGTTATTCCACGTCTTCCCACTTTTCTGTACATCTATTTCTGAGATTCTAAGAGATATGTAATGTTGGGGGAAAAGTCTGAAAAGCAGACAGAGTCAACAGACTGAAAGGAAACAAGACCTACCCGAGATACCCTCCAACCACCCACGGCTGAAAAAGGGAGAGGGAAAATTAATTAAAAAATCAGAGACTGCCACAAGCTACCGTTACCCATTTCCCACAGCAAGCAGGAAAGCACAGACGCAGACACAGCCAAACAGCACATAAACCAGAAAGACGGAAGATCCAACAGTCGGAACAAGAGTTTTTTTTTTTTTAAACCCTTAAAACCCCCCAACTAAATCAGACTTTCTTTAAAATGACACAAAAGCCACTTTTGGCATGCCTAAGGACAAATGATTGTGAGAGAAAAAATCCCTGAAACACTTGAATATTTCTGTCCTAGATTACCTCTTGTCTGAAAGATCTGTCTTGTTACCAACTAGCATAATGATCACATCACTGCCTCGCTCCGTGCGCACGTCATCAATCCATTTGGATGTCTGGTGGAAGGAATTCGCATCTGAAAGAGAAAACAAAATTCAGAGTGAAACCAAAATGTAAAATCTAAAAGGACTCCCAACAAAAAGAATAACCTTTAAATAACACCTGCAACAGACAAAAGCACTGTCAAACCTGTGTCAAAACAGCCACCTACAGTCAAACCTGTGTAAAACAGCCACCTACAGTCAAACCTGTGTAAAAACAGCCACCTACAGTCAAACCTGTGTAAAAACAGCCACCTACAGTCAAACCTGTGTAAAACAGCCACCTACAGTCAAACCTGTGTAAAACAGCCACCTACAGT